AATCTTGTTTATTTTGTAAAACTTTAGTATAATTTGTATAATGTTGTAAATTATAGACTATTGACTTCAGCTGTATTTCATGGACTGTAACTTGATGTAATTAAAGTGCATTCCTTGTAAAGGATTATAAAACTAGGTAGTGGACTGGTGTCTCCATGTTTTGAATGAATTGAAGGAACAGAACTCTTTTTATATGTATGTTGTTGATTTTGGGAATGTTGTATCTTATTTGCAAACATGATAGATTAGTTTTAAGGCCAAGTGAGGCCATTTCATTTTATATGCATTTCAACAAGTTGTAGTAGGACCCTTTGCCAATTTTTTTTTTTTTTTTTTTTTTGGTACCATCAACCGGTATCATTTTGGGTCGTTACACCTTTCCCAATTTTAGTCATTTTAATTTGGATACAAATATCAATGTAAATTAACTTAGATATATTATTTTAATTTATGAATAAACCATGAATCAAAGAAGTGCAGGTACCATATGTGTAAGAATCTGGACTACACCCATGATTGGGCATCTCATGAAAAATCCGAAAAACAACATCTAGTGTTCCCAATCTAGTTTCAGTTTCTTCTTTAAATCAATCTAATTAAATTATTATAAAATTGATTAATATTATGAATATAAATTTTTAAAAATCAATCCAATGAAATTATTATGAAATTGATTTTGAATCATGATACACAATTTAGCTGATTAAGCCAACATTATAAATCCACTACAATATGATTACTTAATATATCTCATATAATGTTCATAGTATGATGTCATCATTTTTCTCTATTTTTTACTTCTTTTTTTTTCCCTTTTCCTCTGCGTTCCATCATTTTAGGAATTGAATTGATTGGAGACACTAAAACATTAGTTAGCATGAAGTATATAATTAGCTTTACCAATCATAAGCCTCAATTAAATATCCAACAATATATTAATATAATTTCACAATATGTTTAATATATGCCTCAATAAAACATTCAACTAAATGGAAAATGAAACAAAAAAAGTCAAAGCCTACGTTATTTATGGGCCTAGTTGGTCTCAACTCATTTTTGGCCTCATACATTTCATATTAGCTAGCCAATAGTAGTTTTGGCATTATATTTCTTGTAGTTAGTTGACTTTTGACGTTTGACCTTTTTTACAGTTAATTAACGAAAGGGGGTGTAAGGGCAAAAGTTAACCAAACCATGGGAGGTTTAGGCCTTTTTTTTTCCACTAGTTTAATCTTTGAGCAATATAAACAAACCTGAGGGGTGCCATAGCATTTAACTCTTGTTTTTTTATACAGCCTTTTTGCACTTTACCCTTTTTTATTACCAGTTTCTATGCCCTTCATACTAGCCTCCTTTTAACATATTTGTTTCAATAATATATTTTCCACGTTACCTAGGGAAAATTTTTTTATTTTAGTAACTCAATAACACTGCTTATTAAAAGATAAAATGTATTGCACTTTGCCTTCCATTTCTGTAGGTTTTTTATGTTCAACATCTTATTGAAATATATACATTTAACTCTATGAACCTCGGCTTTTGATGGTTAATTTTATTGTAGTTTTTTTGGCAAACTTGATTTTATTTTTTTTTTTTGTTGGCGCTTGAGTTCATTTCTTATGCTGCATCTACTTTTTAGGACTTTGAAGATTAGTGTGTTTGTCTTTCAGTCTTTCATGTGCTTTGGGTTAACACTTTACACAGCTTTTTCTACATGAAAAGTCGCTCCAGAGTCATGTACAGAAAATATATATATATATATATATATAATTATGGGCAAAGGGCACAGATTTTTTACATTCAACACTTAAAAGTTCGGTACCTAAAATTTCCAATTTTATCAAACAGCACCTTAATATTATGAGCAAAAGGGCACACAAATTACTTCCTTTAATTAATTAGTATAACATTATTTGGCATGAAACAATATAATCTAATTCCATCAATGGCACAAAAGCATGGAATTCGATGATCCAGCTTGCAATGACGAAGCTAAGAGTCCAAAATTTAAGTGTTCTCAGCAGAAATGCTTTCCAATAGTGATTCGCATGCATCTTCAAGTAGATCCAAAACCTGCCACCAGATTAAATTGCATAAGCCAAGAATCATCGGAAAAGAGTGAATATAATAGATCTAATTTTGTTACTCTGATGTATCAGATAAATCACAAATTCTGGAACATCTTCACGTTCTTACCATATCAGCTCAATAGAGCAGTTCAGCAATTTCATAAGCAAGCACACGAAGGCTCTGGTATCCATGTACCAGAGTACATGTTTATTTTGTAGCAGATATAAAATGTAAGCAAACGAAGGCTCTGGCAAAATTACCTGGTATTTTCACGGTAGATTAAATGGACTGAAAACACATTATTTTGTTCAGTAAAGCCTTGAGATACTTGTGGGAAAGCAAGTTTCAACAAAGACACTTTATTTTAAGTTATCAAGATAGTGTTTTATATATTATGGAAAGGTTATAAATTCCGGAATGTTCTCTAATCTAGAATTTCAAGCACCTTAATGCTCTAAAATTATACATTACAAAAGCAGATGATCAGAGGGGAGGTCTAAAGATAGTCAGTTGTTCAACGATTCCTGTTGCGAGAGCTGAGTTCAATGAATGTTTACCGTGTACATTTGTACAATATATGTTGGCAGCCTTTTGTTTCTGCCCATTTCTTGAAGGTATAGGTTGGTGAATATGACGAGATATTACACATGGTATGGAAGATGTAATGAACAGAGATAACATGGTAAAAAAGGGTATCCGAGGTACGAGCAAGGTGGAGAATAAGCCGACTCCACAAGAGAGAGAGAGTTGGGATAGTTTTAGTAGCTATTTGCCGTTTCAAGGTGGACTTGTAATGTAATTAACAGAGATATTTCACATAGTATGGAAGATGTAATGAACAGAAATAAGATGGTAAAAATGGGTATCCAAGGGACAAAACTTAATAAATTACAAGAATATTCTCAAAACTTAATAAATTCAATCATTGATGCAAACACGGTTTTGCACCTCGTTGTTGTGGTAGTTCTAAGTCTAACTTGTAACCATGACTCTTGCGCCATAATGAAATAGTAGTTCCAACTTATAACCATTTGGAAACATCAAAATGGGGTAACCCATATAGGTCAAAATTCTTCAACATCTTTAAATGACTTTTAACAAAGAGTTCTATAGACTTCTCATCTTTATAAGTTAAATATGACCCACCATAATAAAATAAATATAAGCGTTTAAAAAACTCTAGGCAATATGTTTTAAAAGAATCCATAACAAAACCCATAAATGAACCAACTTGACGAAACTTCATTATGCAAGGCTACCAAATTAGTTTAACATATGCCAAATAAAGGCTTCAGCCTTCAAAACATGGGACCGCTCATAAAGGTCAAGGTCTAGGTAATGGAATACATTATAGGCAACCAGATACAAACAAAATTAGGCCCCGTTTCTATTCGGTAAGATACTTTTGGGCTCCCACTAAAACATGCAACAGGGTGTCCTTTACTAAGAATGCCTATGATCTCCACATGTGATGCATCTCAAGTGACAAAAGAACTTTTAAAAAGTTTGAAGGTGTAAGAAAGAAATTTAATTTTTTTGTATAATGAGGGTATCCCAGATGTACTTCACTGTCTTGCTGTTTTAATGATATTGTCCATCCCATTCATGAAAAAAAAAAAAGAAAGAAAAAAAAAGAAACCTTGTTAAGTTGTATATGTTTAAACAAACTAACCGTTCCTGGTCCAAATGGTTTCCCTGCTAGGTTCTTTCAAACCTATTGGCCTATAGTGGACATGGATTTGATGCTTGCAGCTTAGCATTTCTTCATTCTTCTTTCTTGTCTATTGGAGCTGGTAGTACATTTATTACTCTAATTCCCGAGAAGCACAATGCAGTAAAGGTTAGTGATTTCAGGCCTATATCCTCGTGTAAATTTGTTTATAAATGTATCACTAAGATCATGGCCAATGGACTCTCATGTTTTGCACAAGTTGGTGGGAACTGAGCATTGTATTTATTAAGGGATGAAGGGCTTCAGATGCTATGATTATGGCTCATGAGTTGGTTAGAGATTTTAATTGTTGTAGATACCATACTCTAGCTATGAAGATTGATCTCAAGAATGCTTATGATTCAATAGATTGGGACTTTTTGCTGGCTTTGTTGCAAAACTATGGTTTTGGGAATAGATGATTGGTTGGGTTTCTAACTTGCTGAATTCTACAAGGTATTAAATTCTCTTGAATGGTTCTCCTACTGGTTTCTTTTAACCTAGTAGAGGTTTGACGCAGGGTTGCCCTTTGTCTCCTCCAATGTTGTTCACGTTAGTGACAAAGTATATTTCTACTTTGTTAGCAAGGGAAGTGAATCACGGCTCTGTGGTTCTCTCAGATTCTGCTAGGAAGGAAAATTCTAAGCTTTGTCACATATTTTTTGCTGATGATTTACTCCTAGTTTGTAAGGCATCTTTGTCATATGCTATGGTAATATCCAGGTTATCTTCTTTTGAGGCTCAATCTGGCTTAGTAGTCAGTAAGGAGAAGAGTTGTGCCTTTTTCTCTAAAGCTGTGAGGAGGAAGAATGCTATTAGAGCCATTCTGCAGTGTAGAACAGACAATTTTCCTCTCAAGTATCTTGGCTTGCCTTTGTGTTCACGACGCTTAAAAAGGGGGAATTGTATTGACTTGCTTGATGAAAAAGCTAGTAAAATCACTAGCTGGAATACTAAATTAATTTCAGTTGCAGGGAAGGTTGAATTGTTGAGGGCTATGATTACTCCTATTATCTGTTATTGGTGTGCTGTCTATAATTTTCCTGTTGCTGTGATCAATAAAATACAGAAAATGTAGTTCAACATGAAAGTACATGTGTACTCTCTTTTCCACGGTGATACACATCCCGATCATAAAGCCAAGGCCAACCAAGGAAAATATGTCACTTTGATAGAAAGAGCGTCACAACATAAAATATCACTAGAAGGATCACAAGAAAGAGAAACGAGACAATATTGAGTTATCAGAGTGGCAGTTATCTATGCAGGGTGCTTTGTGCAGTTTTGGGTGTGATTGGATTGACAGCTTGAGGTGCTCATCGTGGCTGCTAAGACAACATTCTGCAACTAACATTATTAACAATAAGCTTCTTAGCTTGTTTGAAAAATAGATGTGTGCTACAAATACCCTTCCCTCAGCTTTAGAGGCTGCATGGAAAGGCCTAACAACTGAGATGGATGAAATTTCTACTTCGTCCTCTTCTAAATCATTAGCATTCTAGGTCTTATAGACGAACAAATTTTCATTATCCTTACCTTCTTGTAAGGCTCTCGTTTTCCCTTTTACTTCCCTTGCTAGCCATAAGACCCTTTCTTTAGGATCAGCCATATTAAAAGAAGACAGTTCATATACAGTAGGTCAATTGAATGGCTGCATTGATGTTGCCCATGCACTGCGATTTCTGTCACTGAACATAGGTGCTATCTTCCAAGTTTGAAGTCAAGATTTCCTAGTAAATGGGTCCCAATATTCCTCCACTTTTAATGCACCATGGAATAAATATTTGAACCAATATGGTTGTTGCAGTATCGCAAATGAACTCCCTCCTTATATCAGAAATTAGGCCAGCCTTCAATCGAACAAGCTCTTAGCCTCTTACCATGGATCTTTACCACTGACTCCTAGTCTGCAGATTATTATTATTTTCATATATTCTACCATTTACATGCCGGCTTATTTTAGATTAATATGTTGATAGCATAACTTGTCCTGAAAATTGGTTAGCATGTATTTCGTGTGAAACTTGGCATTGATTTCTTGCCAAATGCCAATTTAGCAGCTGTCTAAACCTCCTCATGTCTCATTCAGTGCCATTCCACTGAACTTTCGCTAAGCCCACAAGTGACATCCTAACAAAAACATTAAATTATGTCAGAGTATGTAACTAAGAAGCATGAAAATAGATACGGGACACGGATACGACATGACAAATCCAAAACAAAAAGGGCGAATAATAAATAAATAACTATATATATATATATATAGTTATTTATTTATTATTCGCCGTGTTTGTTATATATATGATTTTGTACTTTAAGAAATTAAGAGAGTTTATTTTTATTAAACTAATCTAAGAAACACGGAAACAAACACGACACGAATACGCCAAAACGTCAAGTAGGTCACCGACACGGCTAATTTAAATATAAATTTTCATTTATATATCTATAGTATCAGAAAAATTCTCTAATAATGGAAAGTTTTTCTTACACTATATCGAATGACTCCTTCCTTTCTTTACACATGTATATATATGTCCCCTGTTGGTTGAACTAAATTCTATTGCTCTGGCTATATTCTCAGTTACGGCCCTCTCAGCCAATAGCCCGGCCCAATTATCAATTGAAATGGATTCTACCTTCTCGCATTGGGCCAATCTTCCTTGGACTAGGGTCTTTGGGCTTGGTCTTTGGAGGTGGGCCGCGTACACGTACCTTATATCTGGTGACGTGTATACACGGTCATGTATCTACCCCTTCATCTTGCCCTCTAATTACCCCTCATTTATGAGGGGTAATTAGTCTTAGAGAACGTATATCTAATGACGGCTAATAATATATACGAAGTAGGCTGGCTCGATTTCTAGGGTGTGGTGGTTGCGTCATTACTTTAACGCTCTGACTTCCTTAATCGTGGTGTGTGGCCCTTATTTAAGGGCCCATCACATCAACTTTTTGGAGCTTTGTACATCTTCCTTGTTGTTTGCTACTTCAAGAGTTTTTTTGCCCTCTGGTTTTCTGAATCTCTCTTCTCCAGTGAACTTTAACTGTCTACTGTGCTTTTCTAGTGATCCAACCTTTCTCATTCGTAAAGTGTGCTCCGGTTAGTTTGGCTCCTTTCGCGAGGTTATTTCTTCCCTATGTCATTTTGGTTTCAGTTTTTTCCCCTTTTTCTTTCTCTTTCATCTCCGGTGGGATCCTCTAGGTTTCTCTTTGTGTCTTTCCATGGTAGTTGACTTGGATGTCCTCCATATTCTCTGTCAATTACACGATGATGCCTTTCTTAGGCATTACCCTCCAAATGCTAACTTTGAAATTTGGGAAGGGTTGGCTACCAGCAAAATGGTCTTTTCTGCTGTGTATTTAGAATTTTTAGGTTTCCCTTCCATCCTCTATATCATGTTGTATTCCACAAATTGAAACTTGCACCTCTGCAAGTCAACCAAAATTTCTTTAGGATAATTTATGTACTTCTGGTCTTGAACCAGAGTAGGCGTCTAAACCTAACCCTTCTCGATCTGCTCTTTCGCTATAAGATAGCCAGGATCCGGCTCACAAGCCGTTTGAGTCAAACGAGTTATCGTTATCATTTCTTTCTCATTCCTGGGTGTGTGATCTGTATTGACAATCCTAATTCGGAGAAGGGATGGAGGGACGATTGTGTCGTTGTTAGAGGGAATTGGACAGTTAGGGCTTTTGATCATTTCCCAATCCCTAGCCAGTTTGAGGAATGTCCTCTTCGTGCCTATTGTCCTTACAAAAATCACAAATATGAGTGTGTCTGTGACACTTTGCTTCCTCGCTTCTACAGGTTTGTTTGTCATTGCATTGGTGTCCAGACTAACTTGTTGGATTACTCCATCTGCAATGAGAGGCTTAGCTACTTGAGACAGAATGTGTGGTGTCGCTTGCCATCCTCTCCGTTCCTTCTTATCCCATAATTTATCAGGAATAGCGTTCGAAGCGGCTTTTATGGACAGTTATCAGATCCCTTCATTTAATAGGAGGGCTGCTCCCCATGGCACAGTAGTTCAGGGTGAGCAATCGCGGATCTCAACCACAACAAACTCCCCAAACCCAGCAGATCAACCAGAACAGGTCCCGAGAAAAGAGAACCATCTAGGAGAGTGGTCCTGAGGATGACGATCACGTTTCTGTGGCTCAGAGGCATAGGGTTCAACCTCAAGCACCTCCTTCAAGCTCTGCTCAAGGTGCCCAGGAGGCTGGATCTTCATCTGGCAACCCGCAACGCCTAATCACTCCATGTATGCCTCAGTTGTCAAGGGAGATGGGACTTTCATCACAACTGGTGACACTAAGTTTCTGAATGGGCCCAATGCCCTAGCCTACTACAAGAATATGTGGAGTCCCATGGACATCCATATTCAGAGTAACTTTGATAGAAGAGAGATGTTTTCTCGCTTCCCAGTTAGCGCTATGGAGGTTTGACCTTCAGTCTTTTTTCTTTCATTTTCCCTGATTTTATTTTCTGTCTCATTCTTATTACTTCAGCGTCCTCTCGTGTACTTGCAGACGCTATTTGGGATTGCCACGATGCAGAAGACGATTGAGAGTGGGGATAGGATGATTGCTAGCCTCACATCTCAGCAAAGGAAGATGTCAGAGGAGCATATGTAGGTAAAAGCCCACTGTGCTGAGCTTGATCGGTAGCGAGCAGAGGAAGAACAGAGACGGGCTGATTTGGAGACAATAATTGAGGTGGAGAGAGTAGCTCGTGCAGCTGCTGATAAAAAGTTGGAGGATGCTGCAGGTGAAAGGGCCTATCTGATTGACCTGATCGTCAGGGCCAACACCATGTTAGCTCGTTTCACTCAAGTGGCAGCTATGAGATATGCAAATGGCTACAGAGATGGGTTTCTGGACTACCCTTGCCCGCTAGTCCAGAAAGGGCATTCAATGGTCCAAACACCTGTGATGCTGAACTTCAAATTAATCCTCCTGGCATTTACAAGGATCCACTTGCTGAGGAGGCTGAGGCGGTTTTCAGTGTGTGTGGACGCCTCCACATCTGCCAACGTGCCTGTTGGCTCCTCCTCTCAGATCTCTACACCTCTGGCTCCTACTACGACTCCATCTTCCATTGCTTCTGTCAAGCGTGTTGGAGAAGCTTCCTCGACTCCAAGCGTTGAGGCCACTGAGGAGAACCAAATGAATCTGGACGCCCCTCCTCGCCAGGTTGATGATCAGGAGTAAGGGTTACTCTTTTTTTATTATTATTTCCTTTATCTTGTAAAGCGCTTATTTTGTGCAAACTTAATCCCTGTGACGTGGACAATTTTTTGAACTTACATAAAAATGCTTTACACATATATGTTTATCAAATGTTCTTGTACTTTCGTTATTAGTTAATGTCAAATCTCTGGCGTTCGGCATTGATTGCCATGCGCCACTTAACCGTTCTTGAAATAATATCAAGCCTTTGGCGATTGGCGTCGATTGCCATGCCCCACTTAACTTTTTTGAGATAATTTCTAAGTCTTTGGCGTTCGGCATCGATTACCACATGCCACTTAACCTTTTTGAAATAACATCAAGTCTTTGGCGATCGGCATCGATTGCCAAGTGCCACTTAACTTTTTTGAGATAATTACTAAGTCTTTGGCGTTCGACATTGATTGCCACGTGCCACTTAACCTTTCTGAAATAACATCAAGTCTTTTTGCGATCGGCATCGGTTGTCACGTGCCACTTAACTTTTTTGAGATAATTTCTAAGTTTTTGGCATTCGGCATCAATTACCAAGTGCCACTTAACCTTTCTGAAATAACATCAAGTCTTTGGCGATCGGCATCGGTTGCCACGTGCCACTTAACTTTTTTGAGATAATTTCCAAGTCTTTGGCGTTCGGCATCGATTGCCACGTGCCACTTAACCTTTCTGAAATAACATCAAGTCTTTGGCAATCGACATCGATTGCTAGGTGCCACTTAACTTTTTTGTGTTGCTCACTTTTGGTTTGCAAGAACCATTATATATGCATTGAGAATATAAAATGGATTTAATAAAGCGGATAAAATGTACTTATAACACCAGGCTCATCAGCCTTTGTTCCATGGCTTTGCATATAAGGAGACAAGGAAAACAACAAGGCCTTGCCTTTAAATTCTTAATAGTAGTACCTCTTTAAGTAAATAACGTTCCAGGGCTTCCCTACCTGCTTTCCGTTGGGCTCTTTGAGCCAATAAGCTCCCTTGCCGACTACCTGAGTGACCCTGAATGGCCCTTCCCAGTGTGGCTTCATCTTTGGAACAATACCTACCACTCTCTTAAGGACTAGTTCCCCTGGCCCAAAGGTTCTGTGCCCGACTGTTTTGTTGAAACTATTCATTAGAGTTTGCTAATATGAAGCCAGTCGAATGGCTGCAGCTTCCCTCTTTACTTCAAGCAGATCAAGACTGTGTTGGAGCAATTCGTCATTGCACTATGTATCCTAATTAGCACTCCTGAGGGTGGGTACCACCTGTTCGGTTAGGATTACAATTTCTGAGCCATATGCCATAGTGAAAGGACTTTCTCCGGTTGCCCTCCTCAGAGTGATCGGTAGGCCCACAGGACATTTGGGACTTCGTCTAGCCACTTGGTCTTTTTGTCCCACAATTTCTTTTTTATGCAATCGAAAATGGTATTGTTTGTTATTTCAGCTTAGCCATTTCCCTTGGGGTGGCTCACTGCTGCTAACTTTTAATTTATCCCATGCTTGTCAAGGAGCTTCTTCACGTGTTGGTTGTCCAGATTTTTGCCATTGTTCATGACGATTGACCTGGGACCCCGAAACGGCATATAATATTGTTCTAAATGAAACGTCTCACATGATGTTGGTCACACTAGGATAGGATTCGACTACCACCCATTTGGTGAAGTAATCTATGGCCAAGAGTACGTACTTGTTTTGTGACCTGGCCTTGGGCAATGGTCCTACCACATCCATTCCCCATTGGCGAATGGCCATGGGTTTGCCATCACATGGAGATCCTTTGGAGGTTGGTGAATCAGTAGGCCGAACAACTGACATTTGTCACATTTCCTCAAGAATTTATCCGCGTCTCTCGCCATGTGAGGCTAGAAATATCCCTGGGTCATTGCCTTGTGTGCTAACGATCTACCTCTAG